AATAGAGTTTGATTCCCAATCTATTCATTCAATTCACAGGCCAGCGTTTTGAATTACCAATACGATTCCATGAGCGGATCCGCGATTCAAATCGAAGCCATGAGAACAACCAAGGAAATCATTGCTAACGAACAGCTCGTTTCCGGTTAGTATATAATAACTATCTTTTCTTGCCGTGATCGGATTTAAATTCAACAAAAGGACATTTAAAATAGTTGAGCCGGAAGCGGAAGTCGGGGCATTTGCATTTTCCCCGGCATTTGGAAATTGGATCACTGACGAAGTTATTGGCGACGAATTGTTGCGGAATATGTTGCTGGCCTTGCTGTGTGTGCTGATCATGACATTGATACTCATCGCATCAATACCGACTTGCCTGATGGTGCTGCTTTGTGTGATTCTTACCCTGGTAAGCTCTTATTCAACTCTTTCAATTTTAGCTTTAAAAAATTAAGATGAACAGATTGCATGCTTCAGCATGAAGCAGTCTCGACGAGTCCTCTCTGCAAAATCGGTTTCCTTCTCGTCGCTTTGAGGAAACATGCAATGTTATACAGCTAATACTGTATAGTGGTGGTCTTTTTCTAAAACGATCTTTTCTACAAGGATTCTATATCGTTAGAATGAATACTTTTTCGTTACCATTCGGCACCTCTCCCCATGATACGAAGTTTTACCCGACGAAATTCCACCTAAAACGATTTTTTGGTCGATCCCTTGAATTTCGTTATAATAGAGAGTCCACCTATACAGTATTTACCAACTGTGAAGATAACCGTTTTTTCAGTTTTATTTTATGGCATACGAAGTTACGTGCAACAGCAGTGAATACTTCTTTAATGATTTTTTCAGACTTTCACGAACTGTAATTACGCGGGAATAAACAAATATATTTTCACTGAAGACATTTGCTGGAAAACCTTAATTTTTCCAAGTATGCAGATTTCCAGCAACAACAAAAAACTCAGGTTTGAAGAAAATGATCACTTTTTTTGGAAGGAAATTCTCGTGATTTTAGATCAAAGAATCTTTCTCTGCACTATATGTACTGATTTGCTCGCCTGTATTATGGCCAAAATAATGAAAAACAAATTATTATGCTTGGATTATTTGCTGATGATGATGGGCATGGGAATTTGAGGTGATCAGCAGGTTTGACCTATAGCTGTTTAATTAAAAGGCGGGCCTCCTGATTGTACATTATTTTTTCAATATATATGTACTGATTATTTCAGCTAGTGCGTTTACTAAATTGGTTTCGAGTTGATTTTTTATCTCATCTGTATACAGTGTTTAATCCTTCAATTCTGGGGTTTATGCTGACGAATCGGTATTTCAGGTTGACGTGATTGGAACGATGCATTTCTGGGGACTGACCCTGGATACCGTATCCTGCGTGATTCTGGTGATTGCCATCGGGCTTTGCGTGGATTATTCGGCCCACATGGGCCACACTTTCATGACTCTGGCTGGCGATAGAAAAACAAGAGTCAGGGTGACGATCGAGGAAATCGGACCCGCCGTTTTCCACGGAGGCTTCTCCACTTTCATAGCCTTTGTGTTGCTCAGTGGATCTGAATCATACGTTTTCACCACTTTCTTCAAGGTACGTGATGTTTAGCACTTGATACTTCAAATACTGTTCAAGTTCCAATCAGATTTTTTTCTTATCCGTATGCTGTATATATACTGTACTCAGAAGCACGGGGATTTTCGGTGCAGTATATGAAGAAAAGGACCCACCCTCGAGATAGTTGTTTTCGAAATATTGATGATGACAGGATTTTTGATTCTTCTCGATTTTTTTTAATCTTCGCCGTGCCAAAATTTCCGATTTCTTTCGTTAAAAACTGCAACAGCTTAATCATAGCATTCGTCCGAAAATCTGAGATAAATCGCACTCTCCTTTCCTATGTGCAAAAACTTTGATATATGGCTGAAGTATGGTACAGTACTACGATTTCTTTCTTCACACAAATTTACTCGCCTCGGAAACGATTTCAGAAATTTTCGAATATGTATGAAATTTGCAAAACTATATAAAGGCGGACTATTTTCTCAAGGTGGGCCTAAAGTTGTTCTTGGATGATCTCCGAATTTCCCCTCCTATTATATTGTAGTTGTTCATCTTCCATAAAAATAGTATCAAAGAATTTCAGATTTTTTCATTTACAATAAAACTTCCTGAAATCCAAGCATCCCTGATGATTTATTGTGCTGGGTCTACATAAAATACAGTGATGGAAACGGTGATTCAAAATACAGTATGTTGCCAGTGTTTCTTCAGTTTGAATTTTGTTACCTTTTATAATGGCTTATCCTTCCTATTATTTTATTTATTTTTAAACTTTTATTCTAAATCCACCCACCAGCAGTTTTATCAGTATGTTTGACATTTGCAAGGAATAAATGTTGTCGACCTGTTTTAATTATTTTGTTACATCTGGGTTCATAAATACCGTAGCCGTTTTGGTTTCACAAGATTGAAAACTATTACATGGGATATACGCCTCGAATTATATGGAGGGAATAATTAAAAATTCTGAGAATTTGAATCTGCATGCTTTAGATATTGTAATGCACGTTATTTGTATAAATTCCAAGGACCAGAAAAAAACATTCTTCGGAGAGAATCCCCATAACAATGGTAGAGAAAAAATCGTATGCATTGTTGTAGACGAGAGGAGAGAGAGAGAGAGAGAGAGAGAGAGAGAGAGAGAGAGAGAGAGTGTGTGTGTGTGTGTGTCCACCTCTGAACACCTGTATAACAGCAGTAAAGTTATTATGAATTTCTGCGAGGACATTTGCAAATACAAAACAGTACTTTTCCGTCAAGCCCATTAGTAAAAATCAGACCCGCATATATGGAATACGCGAACAAATGTGTGCATTCTGTTATCGATTCTCGTGAGTTAATTTTTGTCCATGTCCCGCCGTCAGATATTCTTCTGCGTGGTGCTGTTCGGTATGTTCCACGGCTTGTTCTTCCTGCCGGTGCTGCTGAGTTTCCTCGGCCCGGCCCCGTATGCAACAGCGGAAGACGCGGGAGATAAAGAAGAGACCATCAGGAATCATTCGGGTTATCGCAGCAGCGGACGCGGGCACCCTGATAACAGCAAGAAAAGAGTCAAAGGAAGAGATCAGGGGAATCCTCGAAACGAGTTCGGCCCTTCCACTAAAAACGCGACTCCAGCACTTCAAGAAGAACCCAGATATTCCGGCATCTCGAATACTGGCTTTGTTGAGATTCCGCTGTGACGTTCACATGAGTAGAAAGCGAATCCTCTTTGACGCGTTGTACTGCATAAACTGATGTGGAACTGGAGACACATGCATCAACGCAGCAGTGCTGCGCCAAGTAAAGTTATAGACGAGGTACAAATACAGTATGACTAGCGCGCGGGCAGCGGCGCGCGCTTTGACGCGAAACTTGATGAAATAGAAGCAGTGCTCGATCCCAGCAAATTACTCGCCAAGAACTCTACAAATTTTATAAAAGTAATAATCTCCAATAATGTGAGACATTTATCAAAAGAAATTACCATTGTTCACGATTACGATCGATGCACTTGTACCTCGGAATACTGTCTTTTTTCGCGATAAAAGATTCGTCGTCAACTTACGGACGCCATCAGCAGCAGTATCCGCGCAATACTGTACTGCTACACAAACTACAATCCGTGCAAGCTGGTAAGATGTTTTTAGTCGGATATCTTTCACGAAGCGGAATTAAGGGACTCTCCGGAGTTAACACCGTATGCTAAGAAGTTTTTTATTTTTATTTTGATGATTTTTAGGCGGACATTGATAAAAAAAAAAGATTGAGATGGCGCAGATCGAGGACCAGATACGAAAACTGTAGTGGCCAAAAGTTTCGACGAAGATGGGATTCGAACCCACGCGGGCAGAGCCCATTGGATTAGCAGTCCAACGCCTTAACCACTCGGCCACCTCGTCTTTCATACAGAAGATTGAGTTTTACAACAATATTCAAATTGGAGGATTTTATATTTGGCATGCAATTGGAGTCTTTTCGAAATTTCTTTTGCATGAAGAACCGATCAATAGAACTACCGAGTTTCAGTTGCTAGCGAAACCATACAATCAGGAAATTTCGCGTTTTCCATGTGATGAGCGTAGGGATTTCTGGTTTGCTCCGTGTATAACGCAGGATGACGACTGTCTAGAAAATGGCGGCAATCCGTTGTTCAATGATAGTGTAACTCACGGGCATGGATTCAAGCATGAATTTACAGTTGTGAATCCTGGAAGTTCTGGGAAAGATGTTTGTGAGAATTGCGATGTGTCCGAGCTATTCGAAGGGTTTTGAAGAATTAAACGATGATGCTCTTTATTGGAAACGAATGTGTTATGAATTAGTTGATGGACTACGTTAGGAGAACGTTTTCCTTGGTGTCAGAAGGTGCTCGTGCGTGTGTAGTACGAGAACAAGAGCGGCTGCATTGTTTCTGCTGTTTTCGTTTTTCGCCTTCAATGGTCTCGAATACCGTGATTCCTGAGTCTACGAATGTACCTGCGCCCGATTAAATGCTTTTGGTGCGGGTGACTTCAGAGGTGGAAACATTCTTCATGTGACTTACACCTTATTTACAGCAGATACGAATGTATTTTGGTGGATCCCCCGTTTAAGTCAATTTTGAAGTGAGGTTATCCCTGGCCGCGAATCCGAGACTATGGGGGATCTCGTGGAAGACGAACTGGACATATATGGAGATGACTTGGGTGAAGAGTTAGCTAAAAGAGAAGTGAGTTTCTCACTTGTTTGTTGTTATTTCGTTATAATGTATGTCACTCGAAATGTTCAGGAGGAAGGTGATTTGGTCGATCTTTACGAAGACGTTCTGGCACCGTCTTCTCGATCCATTGAACACCGAAATGGACCCCGGCGAAGTCTGTCTCCTGTTCGAAACGGTTCACACCATCACACGGGATCGCGAGTGTCTGTTGTCGTTGGTAACCTGAACTGGGTATGCGAATGTGGAGTCCTTGTTATATTCATGGAGCTAATTTTTTAAAATTAATTATAGTGGACGAATGAGACTGACGTTGAGAATGCTATCAAAGCAACAGGCGTTGACGACTTCCTTGAGTTGAAATTTGGAGAGAATCGTGCAAATGGGCAGTCCAAAGGGTATTGTGTGGTGACGGTGGGTTCAGAAGCTAGCGCAAAACTAATTTTGGAGAGATTTCCGAAACGGGAAATCAATGGCCAGGTTCCACTCGCCCTGCCGCACACTAAATCTGTAATCGCCCAGGTACCTTTCGAATTATTTTGACGTATGAACTTATTACTCTACGGTCGCGGGCCTTTTATCCTATCAGTTGGATTCCCAGTCAAAGAGCTCCAGGCCTTCTCCTCCGATAAATCATCTTCCTCCTTTGGGTCCAAGCCGTGGTGTTCCGCCACAGCTTGGTGCGCCGCTGAGGTCTTCAGCGATGATGCTAGGCTTGCCACCTGGTCGCCGTGGACTACCGCATTCGTTGCCTCCGCCTGGTGGACGACCCCCCCCAATCGGTCCACCTCCGATGCGAGGCCCGCCACCAGGATTACCGCCTATCGGCCTGCGTGCGTGTTTTCTGCAAGATCGCTCGTGTTGAGCTGAACTAAGTTTTGATTTATTTGTAGCTCCTGGACCCCCGCTTACCTTACCCCCAATGCGTCCGCCGATGAGTGGTATTCCGCCGCCACTCGGACCCCCACCTTTGACTGCTCCAGTGAGTGCTAGAATGCCTGACTTGCCTGAATTTTCCTTTCTTTAAATCTTCAATCATTATATGCTTAGCCTCCGGGATTGCCGCCACCTGGAATTCCTCCTCCCGGCCCGCCGCCCATGGACGGTCGTGGACCAGGACGCCTACCAGATTGGTCCCGTGGAGCGCCTCCTGGTGAGTATGTTGGATATTCGCGTGGGGACATTTCAAGTCGATCTTTGCATTCCTTCTGTATGAGGTTTATTGCGCATTCTTTTGAAATCCCTATACTCTTGAAATTGTCCGGAGCGATGAAATAATCAAAATTCGGACTTCACTCTGCGTGGCAGTAGTGACTGAAGTGACCAGCGTCGCGAAAACTCGTAAACTCAGTGGTTCTGAGCAGCGTTGCCGTTAAATTAAATTTACTGAGTCATTCGAGTCACGATTAGTCGGAACCTAGGTCTCACGATTTATTTCTTTCTTGTAGCGTTCAAGATTTTTCGTCGTGACTCATTTCATCAGGGAAAATTTAGTAATCAACGTTCACTATTTATGTTTTTTTTTTTAAATATGAATTGAGTACTAAGGAACGCTCTCTTGTGTCTGTTCCAATTTAGCTATTACGCTAAGAATTTTAGTTTCTTGGAGTCGTTTCAAACCTAATTTCGAAGTCGCTTCATTCAATAATTCGTTTTATCTGTAGATTTCCGGCATCCTGTAAAGACTAGTCTTCCAGGCGACGTACCATATATGTGTTGCAAGTCTGCTGTTGAGGATTATAAAGTGTTATTTCTTTGCACCGCGAAACCTTAGTTCTGTCTTTATCAAACACAATATAGTGGACAATTTTGGCACCCAAGATCTGCACCGCTGAGGTTAGAAAATGCGTTGGAAATATTCGTATTCAACGGATCATTCTGTATCCAAAAAATTTAACGCACTTGATCATCTAGGATCAGACAGCGTCTTATGTTAACGTTTTTGCGATCTCTTTTGGAAGCTCTGTTCCATGTTAAGTGTGATCTGAAGTAATTATGTTCTGTCTTTAAACTCAGGATCACTGGCATTTATTTGGTTTACTAGAAAAATTGATAACTTCGAAAAATGAGTTTCCTGGAGAACCAACTATGGTCAGATTTGTTGTATCCCCGAATTTTGGTGTGCATTAAATTTCTTCTGTGATGGTTGAACGATTGCATAGCTTTACAATTTTCCATATTTCTGTCGATCTCTCTGGTCTTCACCGTGCGGCACCGAAGGGTTTCCCCCGTTGCATTCTGGTGCAGTGAATCTTCCTCCTCCAGGTTCGTCACTTGCAAACGATCATATACTCATGTCCTGTGTGTAGTCATTGTTGCATGGTAAAGGTATCCATTCGTAGTGCCTCCAAACCGTACTCATGTATATGTTGTGGGATCTGCTTTGTACATACCTGTTTTAATTGTTCGATTCTCGTTGTTCAGCCGTGATGTTCACGCCATTTATTTTTTTGTCTTGCAGGACCACCTCCTTCGCATCCGCCTCCTGCGTTGCATGTGAATCCGGCGTTCCTGAATGCTCCTCCGTCACAGCCACCTCCTGGTTATGGACATCCGCAGCAGAAAGTAATATAGCCACTTGATTTCATTCGAACCAAGCATCTAATTCATCTCCTGTCTGTTCCCCCAGCCCAACTTGTCAGAAGCTGAATTCGAGGATATCATGTCAAGAAACAGGACCGTATCATCCTCGGCCATATCCAGGGCTGTTCAAGATGCGGCTACCGGCAAGTTTTCTATTTTTTGGGCTTTTCTTACAAAAGCGATCATCTTGAGAGAAACTTTGACGGTCGCATGATCTAATCGGAGTTGAAGCCTCGCTTATTTTGTGTTCAGAAACGATTTTCAAAAAAATTCGTTCTCCTGAAAAATCGGGTTCTCCTCTTGTGCTGATTCTGTGTTTTGTCGATGGCAATGTGATCTTTAATCACGTCGGTTTACGTTGTCATTTTTGTTGCATTTCTAATTTTCGCTCTTGTTAACCTGTTTTTTCTGTATTTAAAATCCTCTGCGTATGGGAGACTAATATTATGCTCGTCATATATACTGTGTGTGCTTTCATCATTCCGGTCTGAGTTCCGTCCGTGAATGTACGTGTAATTTACATTTATTGTGCAGTTTCTAATTGGAAATTTTTTCATCATTAGGCGATTATTCAACTGCACTGGATACACTTTCGACTGCGATAAGATTGATCAAGCAGTCGAAGGTTGCTCATGATGATCGATGCCAGATCTTGATATCGTCATTGCAGGACACGTTGCATGGAATTGAAACGAAGGCGTATCCCAGTCGTCGTGGTAAGTTTTCCGGGTGTTATGGCTGGCTCATGAACGGCAGTCTAATTTTGCGCATTTTTAATTTTATGCTTTCTGTTTTAAGATCGATCGAGATCCCGTGATCGCGAACGCAGGCATCGACGACGCGAAAGATCAAGATCAAGAGATTACAGGGAAAGGTCGCCCCGAGATTACCGGGATTACCGTGAGAGAAGTCGATCTCGGGAGCGTTCCCGCGAACGAGATCGTGACCGGGAGAGGTATGTTGGATTTCTTGTGTTTTCTTATATGCATAAAAGACATTTGGAAGGCTTCTTCCGTCATGGTTAGTCAGGAGATTTTCATGATTGATTTTACTGATCAGCTAGGTAGCATACCCTATCTGTCTCCCAATCGTGAATTTAATATAAATTGTGCTCAATCAAGTGGACAGAAAAATCATGGCGATGGATGAGATGTCTGCTGAATAGACGAAATCACTTTCAATTTTTTTTTTATTAATTCCGTATTTTTTTCACGATTCTGCGTCATGTGATTATAGCAAAGGTCCTCTTACAAGCTCTGAATGCTGCGATGGTTAACCGTCGAACGTTGTAGGAGCACTGAACACGCTCTCTCTTGAACGTTTTTTCCGTGTCTTAACCATTTTATTCCCCTGTTATTCCAGAGACGACCGTATGCATTATTCTCTTCGAAGGAATTCGGCTCTATTTTATTCAAAGAATGAACATATTTTGTGGACTTGAAATAACTTTCATATTTACTTTGTATTGAACATCTGGACTCTAATACGTGAAAGAACGTGGTGATGAATTTGCGTAGTATATTTTCATAATCCTCAGAAATATATGCAGTGTATAATTTTAAATGGTGAGTAGAATAGGCTTGCAGAAACAGCAGCATTTTGAATTGGTTCATTCTATGTTCTGTTTGCTTTAGTGGTCTTTTCGTTGCATTAGTGTTGGCAAAGTAGCATATGAGGGTTGATTGGGTTCCAATATTTGTTTGATGAACGGTTTTTTCAAATGTCCGATTTTAGTAATATTTATCAATTTTTTCAGATACCGTGCCAATTTCAAAGTACTGTAAAGCCGTGTAAAGTTCCTGAGGCTTGAAACGAAACTGAAATTTTTTTTAACTCGGACCCCGCACGCAAAATCTTCTTAGCACCCAAGTCTCGGATTGCCCGAATACAATTTTAAATGCGGTCACATATTAAAAATTTCAACTTTTTGCTGAACTCTGAAGGAAAGCTTTATGACTGCCATGGAATATCTTCGTGAAGTCCGTTCGGTGGAAGTGTTGCCTTATACGCTGTTCAGAAATCATTCAAAGGTGTACAAAACGCGAGAACAGCCTTTGTACAGACTTCAATTCTTGGAAAAAAGCGCGGTGAAATGAATTCTTTTTCATCATTTTAAAGAGAACTGAATGAGCTGCAATTGAAATTTCTTTTCTTACAGTGGTTTTAAATGTTCAGAAGACAACTGCTTAAGTTTTAAGAGTGATCAGGAATTAATTACCCTTGAAATCCTGTGCTTTCTCATGGTTTACGATCGATAAGATTCGATGACTATGGAAAAAAAAACCAGAATGAATTCCGTTGTTGGTTGATCATGTTCTGTGGAAGCTATGCGCGGATGATAATTCACGCAATTTATGTTTGGTATGAGTACGTGTCAATATTGCTGCGTTAGGCGGACCTGATTTGCCCATGTGCTATGTCCTATTGATCAGTAGGTACTACGACGACAGACATCGTGACCGGGAAGACCGTGGCCGCGACAGGGACAGGGAACGTGACCGTGAAAGAGACCGCGACCGCGAAACCCGTCCTACGAACGACAAAGATCGCGAGCGGCGATCAGGTGCCACCACTCGGGACGCCCCTCAGAATAACAGCGGAGCTGAAGAGCGCGACAGAGAACGAGATCGTGACAAAGAGCGTGACCGCGACCGGGAACGTGACCGGGATCGAGAGCGTGACAGGGAACGAAGCCGCGAGGAAACCCATCACCGCAGTTCTCGTCATTGACCAGATTCAGTTGCTGCTTTCGTCGATCGTCTGTTTCTTCTTCTTCACCGAAACGTCTACGCAAGAAGTGTACAAGAAAATAGGTACGGTGCAGCAACCCTTTCCTGTTCTAGTCTTTCATAGTCCTCTGTGTTCGTTTTGCGTCGCGAAGATCGATGTTCGGTGCGTCAGGAAAGGTGTTGTGTTATATATATTGTTTTTTTGTTGGCGAATGATTCGCTGCTTTGGTTCACTGACGCGGCCCCATTTTCAGTCAAGGTAACTGTACCAACGAAAGTATCCGATTTTTTTTATCCCCTTCCCTTCAACTCGTCATCTTCATTGCTTGTTTTCGTTTGTTGATACGGTCTATTCCACGTTGCCTCGTGCAACTTCCACTATTTGTTTCATTAACGAAAGCCTTCCGATGTTATTTGCTTCATACAATATCAAGTATTTTTCATTGGTCCGATTACCAGGGCCTTTGAATTATATTCCGTATTATTTATTTTTGTAGACCATCTATGTGATAATCGAAAGATATGTGATATTCTGATTGAAATTCGAAAGGGATGCTTATTTTTCGTCTGATCCACGTGCTGTGATTCTGAGGTTTTTGCGAATTTCCTCACACGTTGTCTTCTGTGATTTTGCAATGTTAACATTCTCTTCGGGAAACAATTTCATGGAACGCAATGTTCAAACAGCGTTTTGAATTCTTGGCTTTTTAGCCATCTTACGGTATTTTTTTGTACTAAGATGGTATCCTCAGCTTGAAAAATTCTGCTTTTCGGTTTATCCGATTGAGTGATTCTGTGGTATGTATAGATGAAACTTCGTGCAAGTATGTACTATTGATGCATTCGAGTTCTCTGAATAGGCGTGTATCTGCTGTGATTTTTGGTCAAGAGTGCTTTCGCGACTTCGGAGTAAAATACATATCCTCATTTTGAAACGAAGTCTTCCATTAAATGGGGAAAGGGAGAATCTTACACGGGTTTGAATCAATGGAACAGGAGCCTCGAAAATGTTCAGGCTACGGCTTCCAAGAACATCGCTAATCGAACACCATAATATAACTGAGGCGAATCATGAATGGGTTGATCATACTGTAGAATTTTAATATTTTCTTTTGTTTCACAGAAGTTCAAAATTTTGTACACTGATGAGATGGGAAAATCCTATGATTTTTTTTGTCTGTCTGAAGGATGCACGTACTTCATAGGAGTACCTGTCCTTTTTCATTCCGAAAGAAAGCCAAGCGGAAAATTCATTGGGTTGTCGAGTTTGATGCCGATTTATTCGATTCCTCTCTCAACTCGCGACATTTTCTCTTTTCATTCCGCAATCACATTTTCACACTACTGTTTTCATTTTCATGCGTGTTGATATATGTTTCTAAGTCGTTGTGGAATTTTTCTCGGTCGGAACAATTTCGTCGAATGTATTTCCTCTCGATGTTCATACGGCGTACGGAGTATTCCATTTTTTTTTCGATGCAAGTTGATGTGTTGTATTTTGTATTGATGGAATTGTGTTGATTTTGGCGAGCGGAGATATAATTTTTATCGTTGTATTTTCTGTCTCTTCCTGTCTGTTCCTCCTTCACGCCTCCGCTCTTTTCCACCTGCCGGATTTTTCCTTCCCTTCCTCCAGCCGTGTGAATAGTCAAGATAGATTGGAGAACTGCGTGAATGCGTTTGGACGAGCCGGTTCGGGAAACGACGGAATCTCTTGGAGCTGTCTTCAACTGAGATCGACCGACGACGCGGAAGTTGGCTTGGGTTTTCATCACATCTACTGCAAGAGAGATAAGACTGAGCTTCTTTTTATTCTCTATCGAATGTTCTGCCAGATTGTAAGATTACAACTCAATTGCCGTAGAAACAACGCGAACGTGTTGAGATTCTTTTCATGGACGATTTCTATCTAGAACGCGTGATTTTGAGATGGCAGATTGACGAAGCTATGTTACACGAGTGTCCTTTTTTGCCTTTGGTCTTTTGAAGATTATGTAAGGCTGTCGTGCGTTTTGTCCGCTTTTTTTCTCTTCCGTTTCCGAAGTGCGATTTTGTTTCGTGTCTTTTTTTATGGCGAGCATGGGTTTTCGGGTCTTGGGTAAGAATGAAATTTGTGTGTCACAAGAGAGTCTACTTTTGGTGCGTTGCTTTTTGTGGTACTTGTGAATTCATGTCAAACCCTCAGTTTCAGGTAGAAGTTGGTCGAAAATGGGATCGATCGATTTGGATGGTCCAGCGTTATTTTTGGATAGCGATGTGAAAAAGCTGTTCGGTGGGAAAAAAATCCTATTCGTAGGCGACTCTAGTAAGTTCTTCTTTCGAGTTTCTCGGGTTTGTTCGTGTTTCGACGAATTTTTGTAAGAACGTCGTTCGTTCCTAAACTTGACAACGTCTGACTCATAATGAGATACGACGCAGTTTGAATCAATTTATCTTTAGCTCATTATGTTTTCGATTGTTTTGTTTAAACGGAGTGTGAATGAGCTTTTCCACCTCGTAAGTCGAACCCTGAAATTCGGAGAAATTATGGTAACTTCTTTGGTTTCGGAACAATGAAAAGTTCGGATACAGGTGGAGACTCACCACAACGAAATTCTAGGGACTAAGAAAAATCGTTCTACGGAGAAAAATCGTTGCGGAGGACCCCTATAGTATGGGGAGAGAACATCTACGAGACTGAAAATAAAAATTTGTTATGTAGAGAAGATCTGTTTAGAGAGAGTCCACATATATTTCCTGTGTGTCAACCACTCCCATACCGCAATGTTTCGGAGCTGATGGCCTATTTTACTTTAGTCGTGTTTGCCGGATTCGCATGACGAGACTAACATTAAGAATTCGAATCTTGGTTAATAGATAACGATCATTATTGAAAAGCTATTCGGGATATATAATAGACAATCTTCGATTTACAGTATTATCAACTTTGTGTTAATGAATCATGTTTACCATGAATTTTTTAGACATGCGAGCGTGGTACAAAGACCTGTTGGTAATCGTAACTCGGAACCAAGTTGCCCATCCAACGCATTTCAAATGTAAGGTCTGTCAAACCGTACTATATCCTCTAACATTTTGCGACGACGAGGGAGTCTTGAAATATTTTTTAGATGGAAGAAAGCTTCTATAATGATTCTCTGGTCATCGCCGATGATGTCAAGGGCCGTGATTACAAAGAAGTCAGAAATTACACCCAGGTTAGTTGATGCGACACGTTTTCAACTTCGCGAACCTCATGCACAAATACATTGTATTCGTAAATCCCTGTAAGAACTCTTGTTGCTCGATATTGATCAAGTACTTTTTTTCCTTTCAGGATGGGTTGGACATCACTTTTGCGTTCATTACGAAGTGTTGGCCGAATTACTATCTTTCCTCGAAAATGAAAGAGTGGCGATCAGGGGAAAACCGACCCGACTTCGTAGTGATGTGTTCGGTTGCGTGGGACATTTCAAGGTAATTGATTTTTCGATCAATGGTAAACATGCGAGGTTTAACTTGCTTTCACTGCCCGTTACTCGTAGTGTATCTTAGTTCTGAGGTGTGACGTACATGTGCTTCGTGGTAATTCGGCCGCTCCAGAGTTTCCTAAAACTCGTGAAAAAATCCAAGAATGAAGCAATTTTTTTTTCAACGCTAAAAATACCTGTGTGTGCGGGAAAAAATCTCTTCTCATATTTTACGTTTCAGATTGGTGACCCCGAGCCTCTTTTGAGACGTTCTTCTGGGTAGAAACATCTGCGTCTAAATGAAATTTTGTCATGTTGAACCTCGCAGTTGTTCCCTCTTCCGCTTGAGATTCACTGCCTAATATGACGTGCCGCTTTATGGTGAATAATCATCTGCAATACCTGAAATGTGTAATCCTCTTAATTTTGCAAACTATTATTTCTGGAGTAAGTGGAAAGGGGTGTCCTGATGGAGTTGAAACATTTTAGTCAGGATTCTTTCATGATTTTTACTGCAGTATTTCCTCTCACAACTTTCTTGCAAGCGTTTATCCTCTTGTGTAAATGCTAAAGATGACATAGAAATTCATCTCTGAATACTTACGTACGTGTTTGAGGATGGTGTAATTATGAAAAAGAAAGGCATGCATTCACGTTTTGTTGTGGCATTATGTCGGAAACTTCGATTGGACTTCATTCGTCTGAGAAGTTTAAACAAATGGAAAATTGATTTAGCCGTCTTCATGCTGTAATTTTTTTCGAGGATTCATGCCGAATGTTAAATTCTCAATGATGAAAAATCCATGAAGGAGTAGTGGAATGGGCAATGCTCCCGATGTAGGGGAGCTGCTTTCTACATTGGATCATCTTACGTCGTTTAATACTTTCCCTATTTTATATCAACCTTTTTGATGACTTGTAATGAGGGTGTGTGAAATTGAAATTTCACGGCTATTCAATTATCCGAAAATCATCAAGGCCTTGAAAAATGCTTCAGTTATCCATTAAAAAACATACACAGTATGTAAACATGAAGACAAACACAATTACGAAGTTGTTGATAAAATGAAGACAGCATTCAGAAGATGTGACGATTTATGAGATATCCCTCGTGGAAGAACTGTAAAAATTCTGAGTAATTTCCCATATACTGGAGAAATGAAGTTCAGCGTAAAATCGTGGGCTCGGTTTGCTAAGAATTTTTTTTTTTTTCATTTATATCTTGCACATTTGAACGGGTCATAAGCGATGGCGCCTGGCGTACGTTCCTTGGGCCTGTGACCAAATCTCTTCTTTTCCAATGAGTCTCCCAGCTTAATTTACTAACCAGATGGATTTTCCAAGTATTCGCTCAGATACGAGGGAAGAAAAATCTTTTAGGTGACATCAGCATCAGGTTATCATATGCGTTATATTTGAGTGCAGGTCACTGCAATGCTGTATTGCTGTCTGTCACACCTCATATAGATATAATTACAGAATTTCTCGGTAAATAATTTTTTGAAATTTTGAAGAGCGCTGTTGTTCATTACGAAATTTGACTTTGATTTTAGGTACGGCGTGAATGGCGTAGAGATGTTCAAGCGGTCATTGAATCAATTGATCTACGAAGTGAAAAGTTGTCTTGCGCCTGGTTCATTCTTGTGGCTAACAAATCCTCCAATGGGAAGGAAAGTAACCGCCGCTTTCCTTGTCGAAGATGTAAGTCGACAATTCTGGCAAGCTTTTGTCGTGAACATTTGTCATCGTTTTATGCCTATGAACTTCCATCTTTTCGCAATCTTTCTTTCGATTTTTTTTTTACAAAATTTGACGCATTTTGATGTTTAATTTCAGCTGAATTTTTTAGCGGAAATGATGCGGTACCACGTGATGGAAGCAAATGCATACAGTCTCGATCTTATGATCAAGGAAGAAATCGACGTTTTCGATCTTCACTACTACATGTGTTATGTGACCGATCTGTGAGTGTTGACAAATTTTTTTAGTCTCCCGAATTAAACTCCCGAGAAAAGCGCAAAGAAGTGTGCAACGCTTCGATTGGTGGCGTGAGGTTGGAACCATGTACAATTCATAAGGCTTAAAAATACAAAATAAACCGGTAAACTTCCTGATTCTTTTCTTGATCCTGATTCAGTTCACATGAATCGGTGCCTTTCGGATGGAAGATACAGTATTGGTGTACAATATTTATTCGAGTGACGAAGTGTTGAAATTAAGACATTACGGTATTCCACTACCCCGATTTGTGTTGCTGTAAGTCAAATTTTTAGAATTGAGACAAGTGGAGTACTGCTATAGAGTTAGACAACAGTGTTGAAGTATGACTTATCTCGAAAAAGAAAAACTCAATTTCGTTGTCGTTCGAAATCTGGTCTGGTTTGAAGATACAGTATATAAGTTGTTATGCTGACAAGACGACCCAATGAGACACACCTGATTCGTGTTCCTAAAACTCTGAAAGCACAAGTGTTGGAGGCAATTTTTCAAGTACAGTAAACGTGCTGTTCGTGCATTCTGAAAACTCTGCTGAATAATCAGTCGAACAATCTATTTTACGATAAGGTTTATTTTCTTTCAGACGCGATCAAGATGCAACACATTGGAGGCCTGCCGGAGTTCGCCTAATCGTTTGTCTACTTCTAACTCATGTTTGTGCTCTATGGGGAATCAAACCTCCGCCTTTTAGGAAGAAAGAGGTGGAAACCATGCGACAAGCCAATTATGTGAGTGATGGTTTGTTGTGGTGTGAACCAGGCGTCAGCCAGCAGGGCTGATTACCAGTAATTACCGGCAGGCGTGCTGGCATACACACATATACACACATACAACAGCAGTCCTTAATGACAGCCTCGAGAGAAAAAACAATATCAGAAATCCTGATCATGCAATTCTCACGTGGCTGGTCCTGTGTGTCCTTGGGAATGACTCTCTCTAATGATATTTAATAGTATTACTCAATCACCACTGTGGGAACCAGAGCTTTCTCAATTGTCAGAACTCATTACTTGCATCTTTTCTCATCCCTCAGAATAAACATAATAAAGTACTTGTCTGTAGTACTTTTCAAGAATAATGACAGTCATAAATATCTGCGTCTCTCCTATAGGAAACCTTTTTAATGGGTTTTGCTTGTCATGAATAATGATTCTATTTCTTATACTGTACAACCAATTCTAATCAGAGTTGCTTGTCATGATTGATCACTATCATGACAAGCACATTAAATCCCCTTTCTGGATCCCAGAGCCAGTTTATTCATGCAAAGTCCTTGGATATATTCCAGTAATAGTTGCTACAGGTACTTCCTGGAATTCTTATGTTTCTTTGCATCTCTGTGGGAATACCTACAGCTTTGGAGTCTATAAACCCTGTGCAAAGCAAGGCAGGTGGGGCATTCCTCTCCTGAGCTCTCCCTGCTAAATAACTGTTCCGATCTTTAGTTGCTCTTTGTGGCTTATAGGAGTCTGTGTTATCTGTGTTGGTTGTACTTTATGAACATTAAAAGACTGTTGATCTGTTTTTCAGACTTTTCTTGTTGCTCTCATTCATCATTTACAAAAAGGAGATACTCAAACTTTAAAATCCTTTACATTTATCCAAAAAGGATGAAGAGTTCACAAGCATTCTCACAGTTTTAAGGCTACCTTATTTTCCATGTACCCAGCAGTTTTCAAAAAATTACTTTTACTGTTCTATTTTGGGCAAGTGAAATATTGGCTTGAAGCTGAGGTTAATCTCGCGGTGAATTTTCCACTTGGAGATACTGTATATCATTATTCACGAGTAGATAAATAATAAAATACCATACCGCTAAATTTAACGCTTCGCGGATAATTCGAGGTGTCATGATTAGATAGATTCCGATAACTGCTGTAAGGAATTCTTCGCGACATGCACATGATACATCCTGTTGTGTTGAACGACAAATATTGTTGACTGTAAGAAAGATTTTGTACGGATGAAAGACGATTGCGGTCATCAGTAGTCATGTGGTATCGGGTGTTTCTGGACAGTTACATTCTCCTAGTGAAATTGAAAGTTCGATCGTTGAAAGCCTGTACGCCTGCTTGATTCTGTGCTTGATTATGATGATCAGCCTACTGCTTTGGTTGTTCAAATGTTCACAGATACGTGTAATTATTTTATCACCCAGGATACTTTGATGGAGAGCTTCCTCTACATGAAGCAGTACAATGGGAAATTACCGCAATGGTTCGAGCGAAGTAAGTTGTTAATTTTAATTTTCAAGCCGCTGAATTCTCGAAAAGGGTGTCTTCAATTTTTGCAGTGCTTGAAGCACAACCCGAGCTTCGTGATCACCTGCAGCTTTTCCAGAAGCCGGAAGAGGAAGCCTGACATGAATTCCTCGCTATTAATTTGATTATATTTGGTTGTAAAATAAATACATATGTCTATGTGAAACTTGAAAGTTTTATGTATCCTTTAATATGGATTGAGGTAGATCAGTCAACTTTTGTTTCTCGTTGAGCAGGATCATATTGGGTTGAGACGGTTCGTGACAAGTAAGGATGGACGGCCCCGCAATTTTCTATCAGGAGGATGCTCGGAAACTCCTTCGTAACAAGAAAATCATCCTCGTTGGTGATTCAAGTGAGTAAATTTTTATTTTTGTGCCAAGTTGTCTTTCAATTACACTTCTGAAGAGACATTTTTAAACTAAGATTTTCATTCAAACAGATATGAGATCCCTTTACAAGGATATTCTGGTTTTGATCCGAAAGAGTCGTTTAGCAACCCTTGACGAGCTAAAATCAAAGGTAAGTACGGATAAATTTTATGCCAGTGCTTCTGAAGGAATGCTCGCTTCTTCATCAAGGCTGAATTCAGTTTTCATGATGATAAAACATTATTGGTCTCGAATGACACCGGTCTGGACTTCAAGGAAGTTCGACAGTATAATCTTGTAAGTACTGTAAAGCATTTTGAACGCGAAATTTTCGTTCTTCATGCAATATACTGACAGTGGCTGGGGTTTTTTTCCAGGGCGAGTTCGACATCACATATGCTTTTGTCGCGAAATGTTGGCCGAACTACTATCTTGACGATCTTTTCAAAAAATTGAAAGCTCGTGAAACGTCCAACCCGACGATTTTGATCATGTCGTCTCTGTTGTGGGACGTATCAAGGTATGTTCTACAGTACACAAGTGTTCTAATGCGTGAGTCGAAAAAAATATAATCCGCGGTACTTCAATTATTACTCGGAATAATGACCAGGACTCATCCGCCAATCGATCAATTGTTAATATGTGGCGCATGGTGGAATAGTGTGTAAATAGCCGATCTATATAAACATGAAATATTCAAGGATACCTCGTCGAGATATTAACATTCTTGAAAATGTTGCAGTGCACTCACCCTTGGAAACATGATCCATTTTAAGCGCCACTAATCTGTTGGAAAACATGCGGAAGACGATTACTAATCTGAGTTGATATGTGTTCACGAAGTCTTTCGGAATTGAAGGTATGAACCGGGGAGTGTGCAGAAATACAAAGAGTCTTTACAAGAGCTTGTGAAACAAGTGAAGGAAACCCTAGAACCTCAACAGTTCTTGTGGTTGACCAGCCCACCGGTTGGAAATGCGATAACCGCGTCCTTCCTTGGACATACGGTGAGTGTTCTTGTTCTCGTTTTTATTATCTTAATAATCCAACATATATCTGGTCTAACCTGCTTAATGCAGTGCTTCATGGTGTGTTGCTATTTTAAAGGCTGAAATCACGAAGGAAATGTGTCGGTTCCAAGTTCGTCTGGGCAGGCAGTGGTGTGCATCGCTGATGGAAAAGGAAAACCTCGATTTCTTCGATCTCTATTATCACATGAGATACCTCTCGGATTTGTGAGTACCGTATTAATGTATATAAATTCAGTCTGACTACAGTTTGTTCTGAACGGAAAATGGTCTTCATAGACCACCATGAAATTGACTGATAACTCGTCTACCGTTTGGAGACGCGTAATTTTGTTTATCTTAACAGGAGGGAATTTTATTTGATCTGGAACTTGTTTCTAATCAGTGGAGCAAGAATCGAGAGATTCGATAGATCCTTGGCTTACGATGGTTTCTATAATTTTCCAGTCGCTGTAAGGATGAGACGCACTGGACTTCGAACGGTGTGCGTCTGATGGTGAATTATCTTCTCACCCATTTGTGCATCATGTGGAAAGTAAATCCCCCAAGATTGCGGCCGAGGGAGGTCGCATTGATCGAATCAAGCACTTACGTTAGTGTTCCGCAATCTGTATAACTGAAGAAAGGTTGCTGACCTAAAATTATTTTTTATGCCTTTGAAGGATTCTTTGATGAAGAGCCTGAACTTCATGAGAGAGCAAGAAGGTGCTTGGCCAGACTGGCTGCAGAGGCGTAAGTAGTATTTTTACCCACACGTGCTTATTCATTTTTGAACGTGCATTTTTGAGCCTGCAAGCGGTTTTTTCAGAAGTCCTGGGAATTCATGAAACATTGTAGTAGCAGGCGGATGGAACCTGGCGGTTAGGTTTTGTCTTTTTTGCTAATCAGATGTACCTCTTACAAGCAGTTGAAATTGACATGCTAATTATGAAGGAGAAACAATTCAAGGGATCTCAATTTTTGCTAAAATCCTTACCCTAGCAGCATCATTCTTATCTTCAAAAACATGCGCATGCCTCCGTTGTTCCAAAGATTATCCTCAGAGATAAACTGAAAAGGCCAATATTTTCCGCGAGACCTCGCGGAAGCTCCTCATGGAGTTCTTCGCAATCTTCTTGAACTGTTCTTGTGGTACTGTATTTACACCAAGCACATGATCATGAAAAGTTTCAATTTTGGATACCCTTCATCACAAAACGGAATGATAGTACAGTAGCCGCACGATTGTTCAAAGCCAATCGGGAGCAGCCTCGAGATGTTATGCTTGTGTCCGGAGCTTTTCTCCAATTTACCGGGGTTTATCAAAAATATAAGCAGCGGAATGGATATGCTTCATTGAACTGCAATGAACTTGGGAAGTTTCGCAAGCCGCGAGAAATCTCTTCTACGAGGTCCGAAGTTACTTTTGAAAATCTTCTGGTTGCCAAAAAGTTTCCGCGTACCTCCACATTGACAAATCTTGAAGCATCTGTGCCAGCATTGATCACGAATATAGTGAGGGTAACCTGCTGCAGGTTGAACTGTAGAAATTGATACTCTACTTAACTACTTAACTGGCGATTTGAACCTTCACGAAACATAAATGACATATCACTGTAAAAAAATCGGGCTGATTTCCAAAAAAGAAAAGTCACTAAGTCTAGCTGGGGGCAAACCTTCTCGTGATTAGAAACCATTGGAACAATGAGTAAGGGCATTGATTTCATCGCAAATGAAGGCGTGGGAATCGCATTGACCTCTCTCCGTCAGAGCAGAAGAAATGAGCACTTTGCTTATTTTGGCACGTTTCGGTACTTTTGAAGTTTCCCGATTTTAAACATTTTTTTGAATGAGTTCGTGAAAGACGCGTGAATGATGAGCTTTTGCATTGATGAAATGGGTACATTTTCCCACTGTACTTCTAATCGTGATTTAAAGAAATTTTTTCTGAATCGAACATTCTTTCAGCATTCTAGTGAAGTAAAGTATTTTCATAATTCTGAACAATTGCATAATAATGCATCTGAAACGATGCTGCGTTTCTGTGCTTCGAATTGGGCATTTTTTCATCTGTGTTGAAAGGAAGTCAGACGGAAGTTTGCTCAATGGGAACTGTTTCTTGTTTGATGAATATCGAGGATTCGCCTTCCACACTCTACTAGTCCAGTATGACAGCTACACGGAATTACCTAAAATCAGGTCACGAACAAGCGAGTACCGGTCTGCCCCTATTGTAAGATAAAAAAACCAAAGCCCACTGTAGTAACTCTACATTAGTTTTTGTTCCGAGGTTCGTTCTGGGTTTATTTTTCCAAAATTCGTTCGACGTTTTTTGACTTCATATTGTATTTTGTCGAGACTTCGTATGCAGTACTATACTGCTGCGCGGCATGTACTGTATTTTATTAAACTATTTTTTTTACATTATGGACTGATCGGCTTGAATGAAGCGTATGTTCTTATCGAAAATCCGTTCTGTTTAATACGAGTCCTGCAGATGAACCATCATCCGAGGCCATGTGAATTTTTTCGCAATTCCTCCTCGGTTTAAAAGCCCTTATAGCAGTATTTTTTAAATTGGCGACTATGCGTCATGAAGACGAACAAATTTGCGAAGATCAATCCGAAGTCCCATGTGCTGTACTGTCAAATCTCCCGAGAGAGATTTTATGATCAATTTCTGATTCAAGGGATGAAACAACGGATGTGTGTCTATATTCAGGTCTGGATTTTGGTTGACAATCCTAAGCGGAAGGTGTGAGATGATCAGGTCATACTGTCGATGTGCCTTAATGGATTTTAGTCCAGTGCTTGTTCGCTCATGGCCAGACGGGGATAACATTCTATTTTTTTGGTTTCGGGTGACATCCAACTCTACATTTGTTTTTGTTCCGAGGTTCGTTCTGGGTTTCTTTTTCCAAAATTCGTTCGACGTTTTTTGACTTCATATTGTATTTTGTCGAGACTTCGTATGCAGTACTATACTGCTGCGCGGCATGTACTGTATTTTATTAACTATTTTTTGTACATTATGGACTGATCGGCTTGAATGAAGCGTATGTTCTTATCGAAAATCCGTTCTGTTTAATACGAGTCCTGCAGATGAACCATCATCCGAGGCCATGTGAATTTTTTCGCAATTCTTCCTCGGTTTAAAAGCCCTTATAGCAGTATTTTTTAAATTGGCGACTATGCGTCATGAAGACGAACAGATTTGCAAAGATCAATCCGAAGTCCCATGTGCTGTACTGTCAAATCTCCCGAGAGAGATTTTATGATCAATTTCTGATTCAAGGGATGAAACAACGGATGTGTGTCTATATTCAGGTCTGGATTTTGGTTGACAAAATGTTCGGGACTTCTGATTTGATTTATCCTTTTTATCAGGAAAAGATAAGATTGGGAAGTTCATACTGCCAACTTATCATGGCTGACCTCCCCCCCCCCCCCTCCCCGCTTTATTTTCAAAGGAAAACTGAAAGAATAATCTTTTTATAATCACATTTCCGGGTAAACAGTGATGATTTATTTTGGAGGAGAGAACCCAAAAAACCTTAAAGATCTCTAAATGTGGACTTCTCTTCATCGTATCCGTTCGCTCAGAAATAACGATGTCTCCAGAATTTTGTCTATATTGTCTCCAGAATTTTGTGTATATTTCATGATTACTGTTCGAATTTGAGCATGCAGTTCAGTATTCACCATATATGCAGAACGTCTTTCATCAGTTTGAATAGTGTAAATGTGCTGTTGAACGTTGTTCTGATTCAATTTTTTTGAATAACTATGAGAATACGAGTGATGAATTCCATGTTTTTCCATTTGATTTTCATCTGAAAGAGGAGACGATAGTTCGGACTAAAGGGGTGACGCCTCAATATTTTTTGTTTGTCCTTATTAAATTTTGGAAGTCGACACATGCAATGAACATCTCGAATCGAGACAGAAAGATGAGCATTGGGTTATTTGAAGTGGCTGAAATTTGCGAGAAACGTTGTACTGCACAGCAGTTCAGTACTGAGACCTCGACCTACGGACGATTCGACTTGGGGCAAAATCTTTTTAAAAAATTGAGCCCGGACATCCGGGCAATGACTTCAAATACAAACAGTTCAAGATTTCTTGAAGAATTTTAAAATAGTATTTCTCTGAATTTTCGAATTTCTTGATTAAATTAAGCCAACGTATTTGCGTTTAAAAATGCTTAAAATCAATTTCATTTTAAAATTATCCTAATGTACGATAAAAACAGGTTAATTTTTTGCTTCTTATTTTCGGTTTTTTCCATTATGTGTACTTGATGTAGCAAGACTTGTTCTTGTTCTTTGCTTCTTGACCTGATGTCAAAAGATAAGATTCTGCGTGGTTTTATTGTGTGCATTTATTTTCTGTATATGGAGGGCATAAAAAATTATTGCATCGCATTTTTTGGAGGACTTTTTTTAACTTCAACTCTACAGAAGAACCATGTAAAAATATTCCCAGCATTGAAATCTATGGGAGAACGAGGTTCAACATGCAGGCGTTTCAACTTCGGGACAAGGTCCATGCACCAATTACGTCCGCATCTGTGGGGGAATCCCACAGTACTTATATTCTGCCTATGAAGTCTCATCTATTCTTAGAAGAAGTGAGTGATCGAGTTAACATAAATATTGAAGTTGAACCATCGTTAGAATTTTATTGCTGTGCATATCCCAGAATGCGTATAATTACTTCATTGACGTGGTGAACGCAAGGTTTCTTCTCAAAGGCGGAGAAATGAAACTGGATCTGCTGCAGTTTTTTGAGTGAAAAAAAAACTCACGTAAATAAGGTCTTTCCATCAACTCACGTAGCTCATATCCAACCTGACCGCAGCAGTGGCGATCCATTGTCGGGTTCTTATCCCACATCACGCGACTCTTTCCTCTCGTCTTTCTTTTTTCTTGTGTCAAGTTTTCTCCTTTTTTTTTGTGCCTCGTCGTCGAGCATCAGTTCCTAGCTGTGCTGCTGCTGTGGGCAGCGACTCGTGAGGCGAAATGAATTTCCTGACACTGATAATGTCTTTTTCATTGTTTGGTGCGAGCGGCTCTTCCGCACACCGCGGATTGTGCTTGCGCGATGCAGCGGAAACTGCGCCCTGCCCACCCACCACTGCTGCCATCACACCGCGTAAAGAAGCAGCATCCGTGGGGATCTTGTCGAGGCGGCCATGCGGGAATAAAATGTCCGCGCCCAGATTTCCTGAGTCACCACGCAGTCCCTTTCTATAGGAATGCTCATTGTCATCGTCCCGTGTGGATAATGAGAAAGTGAATGAAGAGTCTTGTCTGAATTTCCTGCGGTCATCGTCGGATGACATGGACTACAGTAATATATATAGAATGACATATCTTTCATTTTTCATGCGCATTATTTATTTCATGCAATCCATTCTTATTGTCGCATCTCGGCCTCTTCATTTCGTCGTTGCGTCAATATATTTTTCTCGACGCTTTGAAACTTGTCAATATATATAGTAGGACGATATTTCTTTTAGGAGAGTACTGTTGGTATACAGCGTATTCCCTGCTTGCAAAGAATTGTTTTGGAGCACTATCCGCTTGCTGTGTATAGTATAGAGTAGACCTATATAAACAAGTATATCGATCTTCGAATGTAGAAGCAAAAGTTCTACATTATTGTATTTTAGAAGCAGTGCTAGATTACATTTTTATTACTGCTGTATGCTACAGTATAAATTATTTGTGAATAATTATATCTTGGCATCATTTGGGTAATGTAATGTGTCTTACAAAGAAAATATTGTACTTGCTGGGTACCATTTGTTATGATGTGTCCTGTACTCCTGTGTGCAGCATGGAGCACTCGCCCAATAATTTTCAACGGGGAACTTCACATTTATTTTTTTTTTGAAGAAGGGAACGATTCTAATAGAATAATTTGGATGTTGTATTCATTCATAAGATGCCCCTTTTTCTCATGCTGCATATTTTATTTAGAAATAGTGAGTGTTGAATACAGTATCACTTTAGTAATATATAAACCTGTATATTGAATTTTATTCTGAATACAGGTGAACTCTCTTCCGCGATAACAAAATTCAAGAGAAGACCA